ACCAAAATAAAAAAAAATCCTAATAGTTAGGTGACCAATAAGATAGTTTATCCTTATAAAATATATTCCTTAAACCCAACTCCACTACAATATTCCCAACCCAAACCCAAACCCAAACCCAAACCCAAAGACATATACCTATTATCCTAAATCCAAACCCAAATTATAATATTCCCTAATCCCAAATCCAAATTATAATTATTTAATCTATATTAAATATTAAGATTTTGGGTAAACTACGTATTTAGTATCTAAACTATTAGTTTTGTTCCGTTTTAGTACTTAAACTTTTAATTTTTTAAAATCATACTTAAAATTTAGTTTTTGTTTCATTTTAGTACCATGTTAAAATTTAACGTTTAGTTTTGGGAAATAAATTAAAAGTTTAGGTACTAAAATGGACCAAAATTGATAGTTTAAGCACTAAACGGGTTAAATTGATAGTTTAGGTCCATTAACCAATGTAACAGGTAGGGATGGCGATTTTACCCACATCTGAAAGATTCTGACTCAATCAGGTCAGATTTTTTTAAAGAAAATTTCTGGTTCGGATCGAGTCACGCCGGATTTTTTAAAGGGTGAAATTGGGTCGGGTTCATATGAAGGGTGAAAAAACTCCAACCCGACCTGAAGATAATAATGTAATTTTCTTTAAAAATTTATTATTATTTTTAATTAATTCCTTAATTTGTATCGGGTCGATCGGGCCGGATTTATACTCTAAAAAATTGGGTCAGAGTCAGAGTCGAGTGGAGAATATATATTTTCCGGGTCGGGTCAGGTTGGATGTAGGATATAACATTTTTTTGGTCGAGTCGGATTGATCGAAAACCCGACCTCTTGCCATCCCTCACAGGGCTTTAAAAATTGTGGGTTTAGACCTTGAAAAATATATTACCGTAAAAAATTATTTTTTCTACTACATGCACGTGTGAAGAAAATTCAGTAAAAATATTTAATTTTATATATTTGAATTTTTTATTTTACATGAGCAATCGTAATATGATAAATTTTGATATTTTATGATTCCGTCTTATCGTGAAATATGTTGGGGATTGAGAGCATAATTAAACCTTTTTATGATATGTATGCAACTTTTACAGCTCCCACAGAAAAGGTAAAACTTTTCTTTGCCAGACAAGGGAAGGATGGTTTTCCAGGTAAGAAGGTGAAAGAATATTGGGTTGCAACAGACATTCAGTAATGGTCTGAAACTTGTAGATGAAGTAGCTGCCTAGGTTCTGCTTTAAACTACTTTGAGTACATCCAATTGACTCCCCATCTAATCCCCTCTACTTTTGTATGAAATTTTCTCAATTTTGGAACACTTCATGGTGTCATAAAATGTGTCATTTACAACAATTATGGAACTTGATATCAAATCATTTTAAAGTACATAAACTAGATTCAATTAATCTGGTTGGGTGACGGTGAAAAGTGAAGAGGTGATATTGTAATCACATGTAACACCCCTAATCCGTACCCGACCCAAATACGAGTTCGATGTGTCACATTAACTTTTCAAATCATTAACTATTAACAAGTAAGAAAAAATTTAAACTTTTATTCCTATTAATATGGTGGAACCTTGAATTTAAAATAAATAAAAAAAATAAAAACTCAAATTCAAACTTAAATAAACCCTTAATAATTTACATAAATACCAAAAAGTACAAGTTTACAAAATATATTAGAACATTTCAATTTAAACTTGTAGTACATGCCAATAGTTTACAAATTTACAAAAAAACCTACATTTAAATTGTTTTGATATGTTCTTTGCAAGAGTATACTGTCCTCGCCTATCTTAAATCTTATGTTTTCTTCAAACCTACGTGTGAAACAATCACACACTAAGTTGTTGACTTAATGAGGCAAGTACGAGTCAAATAAAGCATTATATAATAGTTTCTTATTCATTTCATAGAAACACTTTTCATAAGGGATTCAAATAACTTTTCCTAACAAGAATGTATATTTTTATACTTTATTCGGATTATATAACCTTAATTTCAAATGCCCAAATGTATATTACTGATAACTCTAGGTATTTGAGTACATTGAGGTTGTGCACTAATGTTGTCACCACAACTCACATAATTGCACCAAAGTGCCACATATTTGTCCCGAAGGACCACATAGTTTGTCCCGAATGACCATATAGGTTTTGTCCCGAAGGACTATATAGGTTTGTCTCAAATGACTACATAGAACCCTCGACTCTTGGCATGCCAACAATACCTCTAATCCTCATACATATACCTTGGGCTTTAAATCACATAATTATTTCTCATTTTGTTATTTAGAGTGTGTCATGTTCACATAGGCACTTCCACATCGAGTATTTTTCGTATTCACATATCACATCCGCATAATCATATACACATAACCATCAAAACATAGCTTAAGTAATATAACTTGAATAAAACATTGTAAAAACACAACAATAAAGAAATTGAAAGATTTTCGATAAAACTTTGAGGTTGGCTTATCACAAGTCGCCCTCGAATCTAATATAAAATAAATGAGTTGCACTCACCTTTGCCTCACTGAAGTCCTAAACGAATCCTTCACTTTTGACCGATAACTTAAAATGTCGAATCGTCCAGAATTTGTCGTCGTTCAATGTCTACATGTAACATCCCAGAAACCGAGTTAGTGACTAAAGTGTAAAATGTGAAAACTTCGTGTCTAATTTTGAAAAATTGAAAAGTTTAGGGACTTAAATTAGAATATCTATATATAGTATTGAATAGCAAAGAAAGAAGGATGGAAGGGCCTAATGATCATTTGATAAGAAAATGGATTTTTAATTCATCACTTGGATATTATATATCCAAGTGGAAGGGAAAAAAATGGGTAAAAGAATCCAGAAGTCTCTTCATTTTTCTTCCTCCTCCTACCGTGAACTCCATAACTAAGGTAAAAATTCTTCCAGTTACGGGAGATTGAATAAAAAGGGTTTTCAAGTTACGGGAGATTGAATAAAAAGGGTTTTTTAAGTGATTTGATAAGAGAGAGTTAATAAATGAATTTTGAAGTGAAATTTGACTTGTCATAAGCTGAAATAAGAAATCTAAAGTGTTAGAAATGGATTTAGAGCATGTTGAATTTGTGGTAAGATTCTTAGTTTCAAGTGATATTATGAGAATTTGGATGATAAAGTGTGTTAGAGTAATATAAGTTAGTTGTTATATGTGTAGTTAAGTTTAAAGGCTTGAGAGGAAGTCATAATGGAAGGTTTAAGACAGTTTTGGTCGAATTTCGAGTTGAAACGAGTAAGTTCTGGGCAAGAGGTATCGGTACTGGATGAACAGTACTGATACTTCAAGGCAAAAATAGGTGAAATCTTGGGCTGGGTATCGATACTAGATGAACAATATCAATACCATAAGGTATAAGTGGATGAATTCTTTAAATAGTATCGATACGAAGTAGTAGCATCGTTACTAAGGGTATCGATACCAATATTTAAGTATCAATATTATTTTTAAGAACGAATTCCAGAATGTAGATAGGGTATCGATACTGAAGTAAAGTATCGATACCACAGTAAGGAAGTATCGGTATTGTACATGGGGTACCGATACTAATCAGAATGAAATTGTGAAACAAGTGCTTCGTTTAACTTTTGTTATTAAGGATTATTATAGTGATTCGAATTCTGATATTTATACCAATCGTATTATTATCTAGATATAGAACGAAGGCAAGTCCAAGACGATTCGAAGTTATACAAGAGTTCAAGAGTGATAAGGATTTTACTTTGAATAAGTGAGGCCAAGGTGAGTGCAAACGACTATATTATATGGTGATATGGAAAGTAAGACTTGCGATGAGTTTATTTCCAATATTTGGATTTCATGATTTATGAATATTAATATGTTGTAATATGATTTCTATTTGTATATGAATACAAGTATATGTCTATGTGTTATATGCACTGTTCTACTTGGTCTTTTTGATTACATGAAAATGTAAAATAAGCTATGTGACATTTACTTATGTGATACATGAAAATGTGATATATGCTATGTGATCATAATCTATGTGTTATGTGGTCTATGTGACTACATGAGAATATGATATAAGCTATGTGTTATTGACCTAAACGATTACATGAACATGTGATATAAGCAATGTGATAAGGATCTATGTGATTTTATGTCTATGTGATATTGAACTACGTGATTATATGAATATGTGAAATAAGGATCTATGTGATTTTATGTCTATGTGATATTGAACTACGTGATTATATGAATATGTGAAATGTGAAAATGGTATATGTGAATACAGGCTTATGTTATAAGCTATATGAAATGGTATAAAAGGTAAAACCCATAAGTATATGATATGAGAGTTAAGGGTATAATTGGCATGTCAAGAGTCGAGAATTTTACACAATCTTTCGGGACAATTCTACGTGATCCTTCGGGATATTTCTATGCGATCGTTCGAGAAAAGTCTACGTGGTCCTTCTAAATATTTCTTCTATTTTTCTTGTTGCCATACAACTATTAGGAATTGAACACGTGTTGTTTTGTTCCATACTTAGTTGTATAATGAAATCATGAATCAATCAGGGAAAGAGAATAAAAAAGGAATAATTATTTGTCCTCATTGTTTCTTTATGCTCTCCCGTGACATTCATGTGTATAACTGAATGATTTCATTATTAGCTTTCTTTATTAGTTTTGGTTCAATTATTTAGTATATTATCTGTTAAAAAAATATGAACATTAGTAGATTTATGATACATATTTTAGTAAATTTAAGAACAAAAAAAGTAAAAAAAAAAAGTTAAAATATTTATCTTCATTTTAATTATAAAAATTCTCAATATTTGTACATAAATAATAATCTCAATTCTAAACTTGTTTTAAATACAGATCCGAACAAACGGTTAGATAATATAGGTTCCATGTGACAACCAAAGCACCAAGCTAGGCTAATTGGCAATTACATAATTAACCATCGGATTCACGAATCACTAAGCCATTGATCTTGTTCAATCTACCTAGCTAGAGAAGAAGACATGAAACCAACCCGACTCGAGCCCTTCTTTGATATCGTCGCCTTCGGGCTAAACGCCCGACTGTTATGGTGGCCATCGAGTCCCCATCCGTAGCTCTTGCACGATTTCATCTCTGATCCACCAAACGAAATCGCTCTCTTCGGAAGGTCTTCGACGCTCTTTACGCTCGCCAGAGACGCAAACGACCGAGACTTCCCTTCATAATGCTTCGAAAGCCCTCTCCTACAAAATTCCATGTCAATAATAATCGGTCAACTAAAGAAAAAGATGCATGCATACATGTATGTATATGTTTTCATGATGATGATGCTTACTTGATAGGTAGTTGAGCCATGATCTCAGATAACTCATACAACGGCCCGTTCGACGACGACGACGACGATAGTGTTGCAGGAAATTCAGCATCCTCTACAAAATCTGATGCTGATATCGAAGAAATATCGGAGTTTTCCGAGTTCTCGTAGAATGATTCTTTGGATATCTTCATGTTCATACCTAGAAATATTTGAGATGTATGCTACGCAATCTTCTTGAAAGGAGATATATATATATATATATATATATATATACCATTGTTTTTTTTATTACAAGATTTGTCATTATCGTCTTCTTATGGTCGAAATTGATTATAGCTTTTTTGCCATAGTACTAGGACTTGTATCGGATAAGGTTTTAAATTTAAAAGCCATCCATATCTGAATCACTACTTTACTGGCTGAGAATGGGGTCACTGTCTTAACCAACTTTGCTTAAAAAATCCATGACATATTTTAAATGTTTTTAATTTTTTACGATTATCGATATTTAACGTATCGATAAATTAATCTGAATCGCGTATTGCAAAAAATTATTATTAGAACTCTTGGTTAGTCTTATCTACTTCATCTGTAATATGTGTATGTCTTTGAATAATTGGTAGTGTATAATTTATGCATAAATAATGATGATATATTATTTAAAATAAAATGAAAATGTTTATTTTTAAAAGCTTTGAATGATTTATTGTACATCAAATCATCTTAATTATTCCTAAATTAGTGTCTTGCATGTTTGGAACATCTAATCTTATATGGTTAAAAAGAAAACACACTTAGCTAATGTATTCTTTTAAGAGAACATGTTTTGGGATGTCATTTTCTCATTTTATTTTTTTTAATTTTAAAAGTTATATAAACAAGATCATTTTTACTTATAATTATTAATATTTAATTTATTAATTGATCTGTTTAGATCGGATATTTTATAAATTTATTATGGAATAATTTTTTTTAAATTTAATTTTTTTCATTTATAATATCAAGATTTAAATTCTAAACTTAAATAATCACGATAAACCCACTAATGATTAGCATATTTTTTGTTCAATACATTAGTAGAAGTTCTTTTTTAGGTAGTGAATGATTAAATATATTTGATGTTAAATAAAGGTCACTTCTACCGATAGATTAATTGAAGTAGTAAGTAGTTTAATATTACTTAAATAAAATCTCAAATTCGAGTTTTTATGTATCAAAATTAAGTATGTGATTCGAATCGAGAAAAATTAATTATGTTGATTTTAATTTGAATTGATGGGATTTACGTATTTTATATATTTTCTTTTGGAGGTGAGGTGGGCCAAAAAGGTTTGGAAAAGGGATAAGAAGATGGACTTTGGAACAAAACCATAAATGATGGAAGAAGGTATTTCGGTGGCCACCACATGCTTTTGTCGGTAACACTTGCCCTCCATTTTATTATGCCCTCGTTCTTATCCCTTTTTAAGTGCCCACAGCTTTGGGGTTCCAACCCCTAACCTACCCTTTTTAAGCCCTTTTTTTGGGTACATTTTAATTTTTTTCAGTGGCCAAAGTCGATCAGATCGAAATCAAAAGGGACTATTATTATAGTTTAACCTTTGATTGTTTTACAATCTAGTACTTGATTTTCTTTTTCTTTTATTTCTTTCTTCATTTAAGTCTATTTTTTATCAGGTTTGAGTCGCACATTATTTCCTCACTTTTTCAATTTTTCTTTTTAAAATTAATTTCTTTTTTTCCAATTTAATCCCTCGACTTTACATTATTTCCTCACTTTTCAATTATTCATTTCAAGTCTATTGTTGACCATATTTAAACCACAAAATATATAATACATATTTAATGTTAATTTCTATTATTAACAAAAGGATATTCTTTTTTGTAATTTAGTCCTATTCTATTCAATTTGATTAATTGGTTGACTTTTTCTCTATTTTTTATTTACATTAATTCGTTTGACACGTTTATAATCTTATCAATAATTCATCCTAAAAAATATTTTATTTAAAAATAACATTATATATATATATATATATATATATTATAATTTACATAATGTTGAAATTGGCCCTCCAACATTTACCACAATGGTTATTTTGACTCATTTTTTTCTTTTGAGCATAAGCTCCTAACGTTTGACCAAATAATTACTTTGATCGTTATTCTTTTTTTCTATAGCATTTTAACTCCCAAAATTTTATTTAGGGTAAAAATCTCCCTATTTTAGAGCGTTAATCGTTTGTTTACTAATAGTTTTCTTTTGTCCCAAAATGAAATATTGGGGCTAAAATGCTCGAAATAAGAGAATAAGGGTCAGAGTGGCTATTAAGTCAAATGTTAGGGGTGTTTTACATTATGTCTTTATAATTCTAGATGTTATTTCATTTGTTATATAGTATTATAAATCTTACTTATACATATGAAAAAAAGAAGAATACGAAGAAATATATATATATATTATTAGAGAAAGTAATTTAGATTGAAATAAACATGTATCATAATGTTATAAAAAAGTATAATTAAATTTAAAGAGAAATTCGAACAACTAGACTCAAATTTCATAACTTCAATTCAACTTGAAAAATACTTCAAATAAATTTGAATCATAAAATAAATTTCATCAACTCGATTAATATATTTTTTTAAATTTAACTCGATCGAATGCCCACTCTTAATTCCTATATATGTGGACTAAAGGCCCTGGTCGGCAAGATAATCACCCAACCTCTCCACAACCAAGTTGCATTGCCCTGGAGTCACTGGCTCTTCATATATGCCAAACACAAGAGCTTGTCCTGTTTTCTTAATAGTTGCCCCTCCTGCTCCCTGTCCACATCAAAATATACAAAATTTCAAGCTGTATTAATTTATAATTCTATAACTTTTAGAGGGGCTAAACTTCAATTTTACCAATTAAAATTACTAATATATTAAAGAAATGGGTAAGGTACACCAAAAAGTTACTCAACTATATTCAAATGATTCTTTTGGTATTTAAACTTTTAAAAAATATATAAAATGATTGTTAATTTTATCGAATTATTATAAAAATAATATTTAAGATACTTTAATAATTTTAAAATCTTGATAAATTTAAGGCAAAAAGGCATTAGAGGACCTTATACTTAAAAAAACAATGTAATCCTTGTATTATTTTTTCCTATCAATGTGACCCTCTTTTAAAAAAAACAAGTTCAATGTGGCCCTTTGACCAACGTTTTTTGCTATTGACCGTTATGGTGATACCAGTGGCAGTTCACGGTGATGACAAGACAATTCACAATGCTGATGTGGCAATTTACAGTGTTGACATGACAGTCCACAGTGGTTGATAACGTGACAAATAACATGCCAGATAGCCTAAATTGATAACTCAAACATGACAGATGGAGTGTCAATTCAACACCGTGAACTGTCACGTCAGCACTATAATGGTCAAACGATGAAAAAAATTGGTCAAAGGACCACATTAGGTTTGTTTTATAAGCTGGAGGGTCACATTGAGAGGAAAAAAATATGAGGGCCATATCGAATTTTCTCAAAGTACAGAGACCTCTGATGCTTTTTTACCTAAATTTAATGATTAAAATTGACTAAATTAGAGTAGTGGGACCAAATATACAATTTTTACATATACAAAAACTAAAGATAAATTTGTTGATTTAATTATTAAAAAGCATGGATGACCTTTTTGCCACGAATGACAGCACCAGGCTCACCCTGGATGACCATATACTTTTCACCACCAAGGTGTAAGCCTGTAGGAGCAAGATGGCCTGGCTCATCAAAATCCTTCATTATGTTAGCGATCTCATTACCCTTCAACTGCAAACAAACCAAACCAAATCACATTCCATCGTAAAATAATTATAATTTATAACTCTATCGAATCGAGTCGGATCAAAAACCGTCAAAACCAGAACCATATAAAGGAAAATAAGGTTTCAAAAACAATGAACAATATACCAACCTCAGGGAACTTAGGACTCTTAGCCCACACACTGCCGTCGTGGCCAATGATCGCGGCGGCGGTAAGGTGTTGGCCTGGTTGCCCCTCGATCTCACACATCAAGTGCTCGTCTACGTACGTCTGCCACGACATCTTTTATCTCGATGCTGTTTGTTTACTAAGAAAATGCTGGGGTTTTTCAGAGTGATTTGGGAGATTCAAGCTTTTGATAATGGTGAAAAGCTTAAGAGAAAGGGGAAATAAATAAGGAAAGCGATGAAGAAGGTAGGGAAAAGGTTTTACTAAGCAACATTTCATTGCTACTTTTACTAAGCAACATTTCATTGCTACCATTCACGTCCTCCTTTATTTTAGCACACCCCATGGCAATGCCTCTAATTTCGGTTTTAACCCCTAAATTTAATTCCATGTAATTTACTTTTTTTCATGTTAATAATTACATCCTTTTATCCACATTAATCTTTACAGACAACGTCTTCACTGTGAGGCAGTGGTGCTCAAACAACTTTCCTGAAGCCAAAGAGCAGCTTGAACACACGTACAAGGAGGTATATTGTTTACCTCTAGGGTGCCCAAATTCATTAAGACATGCTTAAATCCGAAACCTTGACAAGGAGTTAGTTCTGGTTGAAATCTACTTGCCATGGGGAGTTTTATGTTGTTAGACTTTCCTGCAAGTTTTTATGTGTACTATGATGTTTTCTTCTCGATTCTCGAAACAGATTGGAATCACCGATGATTTCGACCTCGTGGAGTTGTCACCTCCGGTCATTCCACTCCGAGCAGTCGGCGACGGAGGAGGCAATACTTAGGTGAGATCATGTATCTTTTCAGTATACACAGTGCATGCAAATATCGTCTCTCAGTTGTTTAATTCTAGGCCAAGGGACAAGGTGAGCATAGGTTCATCTGCTACTTTTATAGAGAACCAATTTTAGTATCTGAATTATAATAACTTTTTTGTTCAATTTTATTTTGAATCGCTAAATTTAGGTGCATAACAGATTATTAAAATTTAAATCAGATTTCGATAAATTTTGATTTAAATTAATTTTCAGTTCAAATAATTTCGAGTGAACCGAACGAATCAAATTATTATTAACCGAATTTTTTCTTTAATCGTTAGTCGAATCAAATTTCTTTGAAAATATTAACTGAATCGAACTAACTGAAATTTCAATAATTTTTTAATTATATTAATTTGATTATAATCGATATATTTTTTATTTGGGTTAAAATTTAATCAAGTATTGATAGTTTAATGAATTTAATGTGGTTAAAAAATAAGTGGATCTTACCTCTCAACGTGTTTGAGCTTAGAATATGGATTTAATATATATAATATATTTAATATTTAATAATTTTGGTTAATTAACTTATTTCGAACTAAATTAACCTTTAACTTGATATTGAAAAAAAATAACCGTTACACGATCGAACTAATTTGGTTCGGTCAGTTAATTCGGTTAAAACCGAATAGTGAACACCCCACCCCTACGATCTGATTCTAAGGAGGTTTCACTTGATTAAAATTTGAGGGTTCATAAGATATATATAGTTCTCATTTTTATTTGGTATAATATGAACCTAGTTGAAAATATATATATATAAAAAGATATTATTATAATTCCCTCTAAATATATAAGAGATAGTTATAATATTATATTAGGTTGGGTGAGTTTTACCCGAAACCTGACCCGACCTCGCCATTAAAAAAAATTGACTTACTTGCTCGAAAGTGCCTCAATTGAGGAGAAAATGGTCGGAAGAGGTCGTGTTTGTACTTACCGTAGCTTACCTTGAGCGTCAAACCATTATATGTGGATTCAATTGAATGATTTGGGGACTTAAGAGGACCTGATTGGAGGCCTTAGCAAGTTGGAGAACCAATTGGGAAGACCTTAGCAAAAGCTCAATGGGTATCGAAGTGCAACGGTGGTACCATTAAGTCTTCAAATCTTTAAATTGGGTCACTACACAATGACTCGAAAGATAAATCTGTTGTTTGCCCTGTTGTATAAGGTAAGCATAGTTGTCAAAAAGGAATAAAACGTGAACATTAAGTGATACAGCCCATAATTCACTCCAAAACACAACATATGGTAACGCCCAATTTGTAGCCTATAAACCTGTAATAGATTTCCGAACAACACACTTTTAACCCCCCCCCCCCCGATAACCTCTTCTGCTCCACCATTCTTCTCCGATGTCTGCCCCTGCTTCACCTACGGCGAAGTCCAAGAGAAGTGATCGTAGAGGTTTCTGGAATGCCATGAAACATGTTTTCGTATGCTTCAATCCGATAACACAGTCAAGCTCGAGGAGAAAGGCGAATGCCGTAATGGCGACGACCTCTGTGAACTCGAATTTCAGTTCGCCTTCGCCGGATCACGCGTACAGCGCGATGAACGCCGAAGAGCGTGACGAGAATTTGAAGGAAGTCATTACGTATTGCAACAATTCGATGAGATCGGCGTTGTAATCCTTCTTGTTTAAGGACTCTTTAGACTGTTTAACTGTCTCAAAATGTAAATGTTCTCTTTTCCTCTTCTTTCTGAGTTAATTGCACCATAATCTTCCAATCTAAACTCGTCCTGAACGTTACAATTTTATCTCCAAAGCTATTAGCTTCATTCTAAATTAATCCTCAAACTTGTGAATATTTTAATTTCACCTCAAACGAGCAAGCTCCATACCAAAGAAGCTTATGAGAAACAAATCAATAAACAAATATTACAGGTTATATGATACATCTCTGTAAACTAAAGGACATGTATAAATATGAACAATGCAAACAGTAGCTAATAAAAAAACACGAGTTCTGTAAGAATTTGGAAAGAATCTATATTCATTTGTGATTCTGTCTGATTGAATTCAAGTGCGCAGTCAAGATGTCGATATCGGGAAGCTTCGGATGAACATGGCTAGCATTCTGCTTAGATTGGCCCGAGCCGGTTGACGTTTGAGTCATCAAACTTTTGGCACTGGCTGATGATATAATCTTTGGGATAGATGTGGATGACTGATCCTTTTCCGATGACTTGAAAGTTGTATCAGATGAAGACCTTTTGGTCTCAAAGGCCAGCCTTGAAGTTGCTTGTGATGACAACTGGGGATGACGAGAACGTCCCGAGAGATCATCGGAGTTCTTTTTCTGAGGCTGAGTCTTTTTAGTGACTCATCGGCATTTGAACTCCTTGAGGAATCCTTCTCCCGGCCGTAGTCGGAAGTAACGGTGTCTTTAAGAGTGGAGCTTCTCTGTGAATTCAAAGGAGAGGCCTTCGTTCTTCGAGAAAAACCTGTGTTGGAAGAAGCATTTAAACTTGTTTTAGGAAGGCCTTCATCTGAACCAGAATATGGGACAGCTACTCTTAAGCTAGATCTTCTGTTTTCTTCAAAGCTTGGTGTATTGTTGTATTGGTCTTGAGTGCTACTAAAAGTCTGATTACGTCGTTTCTCGGAGTCATCATCGCTAGAATCAACACGAGTACTCGATGCTCTCATTCTGAATTTTCTGTTCACTTCACCACTCCCTTTCCCACTGTAATCAGAAACCACTTTTGGCTCAGCAAAAGCAGTGGGTTTAAGATTGGAGCTTCTCCGTGAATCTGAAGGAAAGGCCTTCTTCGTCCTTCGAGAAAACCCGGTATCAGTAGGAGCCTCTCTTTTAGGAAGGTCTACGTCAGAATCACTATTTCCTGAACCAAAATGTGGGACAGCCCCCCTTAAGCTAGACCTTTGATTTACTCGGTCTTGAGTGCTACTAGAAGTCTGTTTCAGTCGCTCCTCCTCAGAGTCATCATCACTAGGATCGACATGTGTACTCGATGCTCTCATGCTGAGTTTTCTATTCACTTCATTGCTACTTCTCCTAGTGTATGGCTCTTGATTGAAAGACACCGAACCAACCGAAGGCTGGGCTGCTGCAGGGGGAGAAAACTGCTTAATTCTAGTAGATGCGTCATTGGCTGCCACCACAGATGATAAACCATTGCCTCGTGGACTATTTGTATATGGTGGAAGCCTATAACCCTTATGTCTCAGGCCGCCTGTCAAGTTCCCGAAATTCAATTTCATACCTTCTTCCAGACTAGAATAATTAGACTGTTCAGTATCTTCCATGACTTCATCCGACTGTGAATCGAAATTACTGTTTTCAGCTTGGTGTGAATCCACTTTCTTTACATTACTACCCATACTGTGCTTGGAACTCCTAACAAAAATGGATTTGTCTATCTCTTCGTCACTTTCAGAACTAGGGCCATAATCATCAAAAGTTGCCGACAAGTCGTCTCCATGTGAAGAATATGCAGAGCTAGTTGAACTTTCAAAGAAGACGGGACTTGGCCGTTGATCCGAGAAAATATGTGATTCTGAAATTGACTTTCCATCAATATTCTTCTCAATGCTCCGAGAAGTTGTTCTTGTATATGGACGAGTAGGTGATCTTTGACCAGGAGATGATAAGCTCATACTGAATTCACGTTTGTCGTGCTCTTCCTCCGAATCAAAACAATCTTCATTATTATCTGATCCATAGTCATCAAAAACTGCCGAGGCATTGTTGAAAAAATCTGTTGTTTCTTTTGTGCTTCTTTGAAGGCTTCCTTTATCATTACGAAGAAAAGAATCCTCACTGGAATTATCTCCCGAGTTCCGACGGTTTAAATTTGATACATCATGATCATCAGAAAAAGTACTTGAATGAGAATGAGATGAAGAATGGCTTGATTGCTTCCTGATCCTTACTTCTTGATAATCGGTAAAACCAGAAATCTTTGTATCATGCAGTTCAGTCACAAATGGCATCCGGCTTTCCCCTGAGCTTTTCTTATCATTTTCCGACTTCAGCCGATTAAAATTAGAGACAACATCACGATCATCATTAAAACTATTTGATTGAGAATGAGAATAAGAATAGCTTGATTGTTCTCTGGCCCTGACATTCTGATGATCAACATTTTCACCTGATTTTCTCGTCGAATTCACTTCAGCAAAATGGTCTACTGGAACTTGTTGAAATGAATGTCTTCGAGAATATGCATCTGTGGTTTGCTTATTCACTGATGTTTCTTCTTTGAAGGAAGATGCAGTTGACTTGAAGGAACCATGAGCGGATTTATCACCGCTCCTCGTAATGTTACTATAAACATTTTCATCGTATCTTGCCTGGCCATGTTCTTCGAAGCTGTCAATTTGTTCATAATTCCCAGAATTCCTTCCATGAAAGGATACATCAACCGAATCTCTGCCAAGACGTTCATTTTGAGATGCCGAGCCAGTATACTTTCGTGGTTCCTCGTCCCTCATACGATGAAGAGGCGACATCGGTGATTCCATTGAATGCTGCTGGGTGAAATTTTCACGGCTTGAAAGTTCAGCAGCAGCTCGGGCAGCCATACTTGCCATCTCTGCAGATTCTGCAGCTGCCTGAGCAGCAGTAGTAGCATCCTTGAAGTCCATATTCCAATGTTTCCTCGGTGAAGAGTAGGCACTCTCATTTCCAGAATATGAATGCCTAAACCCTTGATTTCCAGTTCCTGCAAAACCGAACATCCAAATATATACTAGTGAGTAATAGAGAAAGAGTAAACTAGGGTAACAATCATCATGTTTAATTCTAATAATTAACCTACCAAGAGGTTTCGATTTTGGAGAATAAGTTTCAGGGTTCTTCAAATTATCAGCACCAGTGTTTGAATTACCAAAATTCTTAGGAGATGATCTAGAGCTGTACTCGGAAAAGCTAGAGGGAATATCGTTTTTCTCGACACGTTTTGTATCTCGAACACTCGCAGGCCCCTTATCGTAATTAGGAACTTGAACACTAGCAGGTCTCTGCTCATGAGCACTAGTTGGGCTTGGACATTAGAAGGATATGCTGAAAATCTGGCAGCCTCTGTATTCTGCACAAGCAAATTTATATGGAAAAAAAATTAGTTGTCGAGCAAATCACTCAGTATTGGACAAACAGCAACAACATACAATCACTTCAGAATTTAATGTTTCTCTAAGAAGGATACTTGGCATGATCATATGTCGGCGCATTGAACAAAAAATAACCGATTTTGAACCATACTAGTCTTACCAGCTTGTCATCATAAACCTTTGATTCTTTTGCTCCAAATGATGCAGGATCCCACTTGATGTTGTGTTCCTCAGCAATTGCAGTCAAGATTTTGAGTTTGGTTGGACCATCAGGTGCTAAGGCCGATAACTTCTCGACCAACTAAAGGAAACAACGTATGGATCGGTCAATACTATCATAATCAAACGTCAATTGTATTTCAACCATTATTTATTCTTAAGAAGATGTTCCATATAAACTCACCATATGACTAACACCGCAGTTAGTACGCATTTCAAGTGCGGCGGAAGTAAATTCTTTCCCGTATTTTGCCGTAAAATGTTTGGAGGCATCCTTGAGCTCTGGTATATCTTCACACCTAGCAGATGCAAATATTACACTGGCAATCGCTTCCTTTAAGTCGATAGGGCAGTTTCTGAACAATTCAGATCAGTAAAACACAACCAGAAGTTATGAAAATCGATAGAAACCGACAAATATAATCCAACTAGAACACCAAAAACAGTAAAAAAAAAATAATCCTCTTCTTTCTATGAACTAACCACACAGCATTCATCAATCCATGCTTGTTTATCTGCATCTCTATTACCATAAAACACAACCTCCTGATAAATTTTCAAAATTTTATATAAACACAAAGCTATATATATACTAATATACATATATTATAAATTCTAAAACCAAGTATTCAAATCCTACTAATTGTTTCTCATATTGTACCGATCCAATTTACCGTCTTAAAATCGAAAAACAGAGTAATAAAAGAAAGTAATTTTACATACTTTTGAGATTCAATTATTGGCATACGTGCAACGATAAGTTCACAGTATATCTCAAGAAGATTATAAGCATCTACAGTCTTTTCTTCCCTAACCACATGCTCCACCTGCAAAATAAAAAAGCCCTGAATCAGTACACAAGAATCACAGACAAAATACGATTATGATGAAAACTTTGATTCAAAACTCAATACCCGAATTCTAGCCGTCTGATCTTGCCCAGACTCCAGCAACTGAGCCAATTCTCTTTTCAACTGTTTCGCTTGAGCTTCCCTCTTGTTCTTCATTAGCTTTATTCGCGGTATCGCTAGCCTTAAAGCTGTCTTGCTGCATCAAACCAAAATTCAAAATTAAAAAAAAAAAATCAAACGATCAGTTCCTGTTCGATTCGAAAACAGTTCGAAATTCAGTCAAAACAAACAGCAACTTGTTACCGAATTGAATAAGAAATCACAAATCAATAACACATCTCAAAGTAAACCTTCATAAATCGCAGCATAAACTTTTCGAGTGGATCAAACAGCATTCAATCACAATCTCTAACATTACTAGAGTGAAAAAATTGAAGAAAAAGAAGAGAATATACCATTTGGCTGGCTTGAAGCTCTTGTGAAGCATTTTCTGCATCGTTGGAGGTGACGAGCGTCTCTGATAATTTCGATGACAAGTGAATGGAAAAGATCAAAATGTTCTTCCTCTTTAAAAATTGAATAAATAAATAAATAAACAAACAAATTATTGGAAAGGGAAATCTGGGAAAAGCGACTTTGTAATGATCGATAACTTCTTAACAGAAAATGGTATTTTAAAGTTATGCGAATCCATTGGACTTTCCCGGAAATTTATTAGTCGTTTTATAAGAAAAAACGAAAAGAAAAAAAAAAACTTCTTTCAGGGTCAATGGTCAACTTTTTTACATCATGATTGGTCAAATTCGCCAAAGCTCCCTATATAAAGTGTTTTTGATTGTTTTTGTCCCTTTACTTATAGCCCTGTAAAACGAACCAAACGAAAACGGCCGAGGACATTTTCATGTTCGTTCGTTTAAATTTAATCAGATAAACGAACGAACATGAACAAATAAACTAACAAAACTTCTTGTTTGTGTTCGTTCATTAAGAAATTTAGTTTGTCTGTGTTCGTTTATTAAAATAATAAATGAACGTAAACAAACATAAATGAATGAACATAAAATTAATTGTGATTATATTTGAGAAGAGTTTTTTTCATTCTCCAAATAATTTTAAGATTTATATTTTCTTTAATTGATTTGAGTATTTTTTTATTTAGGTTTTAAAATATTAGTGGGTTTAAGGTTAAAATTTATTGTCTTAATTTTTCAAATGGGTCTAGAGATTGAATCGAATATAAATAAACGAACATAAACAAACAGATTACCGAACGTAAATGAACGAACGAACCATTTGTTCGTGTTCATTCATTTAATTGAACAAACATAAAATTTTGTTCATGTTCGTTCGTTTAATAAATAAACGAATTTCCAACCGAACGATTCATTGAATGTTCGGTTCGTTTACAAGCCTACTTTACTATAATATTAGAGATTAAATTCACAAGAAACGTAGTGTTCTGCAGGTTGACATAATTCTCTGTGCGCTGTTATATATTCAATAAAAAAGGTTAGAAAATAAAATCCAATTTCCCTATTAGTAATTAAGAAATAATTTTCACCCATTTCTTTTTCCAAATTGTTCTAGAGACAGAATAAAAAAATGCTCATTGACTCGACTTATATCCGTGACGTTTGTATCTATCGTGCTATTATTTCTTATATTCATGTGTTCAATATCATTTTATTATAATAAAATATTTATATCACTTTATTTGATTTATAATTTCTTAAAATAATTAATTAAATATTGTTCGAACAAGAAATGAGAAAAAGGGTGAAGTCCACTTATATACGTGGGACACATGAGCTGGGTGACTTTTGGAGCGCCTTGCTTACATGTCACCCAACGAATTGCGGCCACCAAAATGTTAGAAAAAGAAACGAAACAAATATTAAATCAGCTAACCAACAACTTTCAGTTTTAAGTTCTATACGTTCTTTTATAATCATTGATGTTAGAGTCCACTTTTAGTCTTGTTCTTATTTCTTGAATTCGAGCGGCTGTGTTTATAAGGTGTGTAACGTAATAAGTTATCAAGAGATAATGAGACAATAGCAAGGGATTATTATCAACATACTCTATCAAGATTTATTAAGGCTATCAAGCTAATCACTGATTTCTCAGCTTCAAAACTCTCATGACCGGTGTGGTCGCAATTCAAATGGTGCAAACGATGATCAAGGCATACACATCAACTCCCCGTAAAACGTTCCTGCCTGAATCACCTTCAGACATAGTAACCGGTGAACGTAAAACCCCTTCCCACTATCTCACCGGCACAAAACCACGAGAAGCACTCCAATCCGAACAAAGCAGCAATACTGGCATCTTCGACTTTCAGTTCTTTCCTGTTCTTCCACATGTGCTTGACATAATCTAGCTCCTTCCGGAATGACTCCGTACGGCCAGGGATACTGCAAAAGTTGAATCGAAAGGAGTCATTAAGATAAGCACTCGTGATTCTGATTTTTGGCCGATATTACAGCCTCCATAGAGTAACCTAATATAGTATTTGATTATAATGGACAGAATATAACATGGAAATTCATATAATCATAGGTAATCATTGACTATTGTTACCAAAAAACAATCCATTACTTCCCATACTACCGAAGATGAAACCAGCAAGCTCCCAAATACGAGCCACATATTAAGAGAGGGGAGTAACAAAATGACATTTATCCCGAGAATTCTCTAGTGAATGGTTTCTAAATTCTTGCTCACGAGTATGAAGTAAAAGTTAACCCGAGGATGTTCAATTTCAACAGCAAGAATTTCACTCACGAAAAATCCAAGTTCTCCAATCGAAAAATGTTCTCTCAAAAGTCACTGCGGCCATGAAAGTTTCCTATTAGCATGCAAACAAAATTCATATCTAGTAGTCTAGACCAGAATCCTAATCACAAGCGTCATCCACAAACTTTGCAACAAAAAACAAAACCAGGAACACCAGTGTTCTAAAAGGTAGAATTTATGAACAATAGACGATTAATTATGGAAATATGAGAGAATCATGAACACAGTACTCTAGAAGTGAGTAATTTTGCAGGCTCGATAAGAAACAATGTCAAAGCACAAGGTGTAATCAAATACATGCCTGAAGTAATGCAATATCATTTTGTCCAAATCTACTAACAACAACCGGATAAAGTTTCATACCATAACAAAATTACCAGATACACACACACGTGTGTGTGTAAATTAAAAAGAAAAACAGAATCGTTTGTTCGAGCAGCATTGAACAGGCTACAACTATATGCACTGGCAGTGCCAGCTCTATACGATGGATGTCAAATGACACCCCAAAATTTTTTGAACTTTATAAATTTAGCACCTTAAAATATATATTTTTTAAAATTTGACACCCCAAAATAAATTTTTGACACCACAAAATAATTTTTTTAAAATTTGACACCCCAAAATAAATGTTCTAACTCCGCCCCTGACTATATGACTGGAAATATAACCACTGCAAGATTTCACTTTTCACACTGAAGTTAATAACAATTTCACCCCTTGCCACCTCTATCAAAACAAAGGGAAAAAACTCCTGGTTTGTGCCTAAGAAGTACAACTACGAAACAACTTGATTGATGAGCTGAACTAGATCTAGAATATTTCTTTCACCATATATGCTATCCGCTACTTCAGTCAGTTAGATAAAGCATACTTCAATCCTTTTTGTTCTTATAGCCTCAAATCACGGGAGCTATACAAACAAATATTTAGCATCTAATACATGATATCATTGCTCAAAACTTTTGATGATGGAAGAGAAAACCATAAACTAATAATCAAGTCAGCTAAAACAAATGAAATCTAACATGCAAAAGTATACATTAATCGATTTCGATGCAGGAAAATTCACTAACGGCCTACTACAAGAAAAAAACAAATCAGAATTCAAAGTTTTTCCGATCAGCTAGTAACAGATACCTAGCAAGGCGAGTGTAAAAAAGCTGCCTAGACAACTCGTTGCACTTCTCCACTGTAGGCGGCTCCTGAATGTATTGCTTGTTCTGCTCCAACAACTGCTTGTAGTAAGCAGTTCCGTTCACCTCAACAAACTTCGACGCTTGGCACGCCTGAGATTGCAACTGCTTCAATTTTGAAAATCTTGACGCCATCAAAACCTGCTTCACAGACAAAACATAGAAACAATTAAATAATAAAATTTCCGCCTCTCAATTCAGGAAACCTAAAGAAACATGAAATCAGCTAATTGAAACACTAAAATAAGCACCAAAAATTAGTGGAAACAAATAGATTGCACAGTGATCAAGCATTGGAAATCGATAGATCTGAGAATAACAGATTACTGAGATGCTTTGAAATCAATTTAATTGCAGATCTAAGCAAAGGAATTGAATCTCACCTTTGATGAAAGAAGTTGAACATGAAATAAACAGCGTTGTCGATGGAAGGCAATGGAAGGTGGACTGGTATTGGCTTATCGTCGCCTACATTGGAAAGAAGAGCGCGCTCTTTTGGGTTCAGTGTATTCGTTCGCTAATGGCCTCTTTTTGGGCTTTTATTTGAGGTTCTGTTTTTAGTTTATGTAACTTGAAGGGGTCACTTTGTAATTTCAACAGTATTACTATGGTTAATACCTATACTAATCCAACATTATGAATTTAACCCCTTAACTCTAATTTGGTCAATTTAGTCCATGTACCTTTCAAAATTTGATATTTCAATCATGAATGAAGTAATATATGGACAATACGAGTAAATTACAAGATCTAAAACCATAAAATTGAAAAATACAAACTAAATCTACAATTTACATATAATATTTGGGCTCATATAGAAATTTAACCAAATCTACAACTTACATTGAGAACTAATTAGAATATTTTAAAGTTCAAAGAAGAATTTTGAATATGAACCATCATTTAGGTCCTTTGACCAAATTTATCGTTTTCTTAACTTAAACGCATTATTTTATTATTTTATTTATTAAACACATTATAACATTCTTGGTGATTTAACCTAAGATCTTGAAGAATAACAACAATTAATTTATCACTAAGATCGCTTGGTGTCATACAAATCCATTAATCCATTAAGTCACTAAATTATGTTCAAATGATTGTTTTGGCTATTGAACTATGCTCAAGATGATATTTGGCCACTGGACTTTAAAAAATTATAGAATTATCATCAAATTTGTTGAACTGTTATAGAATGATCATTCAATGGCATCTAATGTAATTTACCCTTTAATTTTTTTTTTTTACTAAAGTGACAATTTACCAACCTATTTAACTAACAATTCAAATAATACACACTTGTAGAAGTAGAACATGTAACATAATAATCTATTCATTTAGAGAATATGTCTTAGTTCGATCCACGTTCTCTCAAAATTATAAATTTGAATTTATTTATATATAATTATCTTTGATTTAAGACCATAATATGTCATGTTTAATTTTCGTGTCACATTGATGGCAAAAAGGTTGCATTATTACAAAATGGATTAGTGATTGAGTTTGATGCTACATTGTTGGTGACAATGAGTTTGGACTTTGAAAAGTAATATCAAATTTCAATTTGTACTATGTAAATCCTAAAATCTTATCAACCATATATCTTTGGTATAACACATAACTTTTTTTGGTACAAAAAAGTTTAGCTCGGTATAGTTTTTCCAGTCCAGGAGAGGGCATTTAGAGTTTTTCTATAAATATAATTATATTTTTAATGTTTTTTTAAAATAAATAAATTCTAAAATTACCAGTTGGTAGAGCACAAGGTTCTTAACCTTGAGGTCGTGGGATCGAGTCCCACGGAGGGCATTTCATAATTCGGAGGTCTCTTACGGAAGCTGCTCTCAACCTGGTGTTGGGGGTAACCTACTATCTTACCTCCCCCTTACCCCATACATATGGGAAAAAGGGACATCCATTTTTAAAATTACCAGAATATGGCACGTGTCACTTAGGGAGAATGCTAATGGTAGTTAAGGCCTGAGCACATAAAGTGGTAACGTTAGGCACATGGATCATTCAAAAGATAATTTAGGCACCTATTCGTGAAAAGTTAATAGTTTGGATACTTATTTTATAGTTAAACCAAAATTAAATTATGGTTGATTGTTAAATCAATACATAAGATATTTCTAAAGCTTATCACAAAAGTAAATTAAAAACAAATAAAAAAATAAAATAGAGAATATATAAAGAAATCATCTTAAAACATGGAAAGTTTTTTAATTTAAAATATAATTGAAAGATTGAGGCATAAATTGTCTAATTTCAAATTTGACAAGGACCTAAAAAATCTTTAAACTCGAAAAACAAGACCAGAGGTTTAATTTATCTAATTATAAAATTGATAAGAAGTAAAGATATATTTAAAACCAAAAGATGGGAGGGGCCAAGGGTTAATTTACTAAATTTCAACATTAATAATGGCCTTGAAAATAATTAAATAAAAAATTTAGGAGGCAATGACCTCTTCCAAGTGAAATAAATATGTATATATACACCCCGCCGGTATATATATTAAGCCCCAAATGTTTCAAAACTTTCATTTTTATCCATATAAATTATATACATAATATAAAAGAAAGAAATGACACCCTTTTTAGAAATATTTTCACACCCTTTAAAAAAAGAAATTGACCTCGTATTTTAAAAATATTTAACAATAATTTTAAAATTCAATTTTCTCACTTAAAAAATATTATTTATATAATTTCTAAATTTGACACTCCAAATTTTTTTTTCTAAATCCGTCCTTTTATATATATATATATATATATATATATATATATACATACACACATACATACACAGTATAGTATTCTGTAAATTTATCAATTGTATAATGGTTTATATTCATAAATGAACTATTTTAACTTTAAATGAAACATTAAGAGATAACCTACTTAGCAAAAATTAAAAAATATTTAATTTAATGTAAAAAGTAATTTTTTTAATATTGTTTCATTAAAATTTAGCAAAAATATATAAGAGGTCTCATTGTGACCCTTTGACCAACGTTTTTTGTCGTTGATCGTTACAATGTGTAAGTTTACGGTGCTGACGTAACAGTATATTTGCCATGTTATATTTACCGATCTAGCCCATCTACCATGTCACCCGCCACGTTAATCTGCCACCCTGGACTGCCAAATCAGTATCATAACGGTCATCGACGAAAAACGTTGGTCAAAAGGTCACATTGAATTTATTTTCCGAGCTCGAATGTCACATTGAAAGAAAAAATAATATGATGACCACGTTATTTATTTTCAAAGGTACATAGACCTCTGATTTTTTTCAAAATCATAACTAAAGTTTAATTTTTGTTTCATTTTAATACCCCATTCAAAATCTAGTGTTAAGTTTTGAAAAAAATTGAAAGTTTAGTATTAAAGCAGACCAAAACTGATAGTTTATATACTAAACGCGATAAATTATTAACGGCGTGATACTAAAATGAAACAAAATCTAAATGTTAGGTATAATTTTGAAAAATTGATTTAGGTTCTAAATACGTAATTTACCCATCAAATTAAGACTCAGTTGGCCATAAACAACATATTTAAGGCCAATTTTTAGTGCGAGTGGGAGGCAAGTAAGCATTAGTAAGCTAAAACATTAAAACAAAGCAGAAAAGAAGAGTTCAACAGATCTGTGTGTATTATCATCAGCAAAACAAAAGTCTGCTACTTGTGACACTAGCCAACAGAGTCTCACGGATGGAAAGGAAATCATCAAAACTTCCCGGAAGACGGGGAACGACGCGTAAAAACTTCCTCGACTATCTTAGCGATCGATTTCTTCCGACACATTAATGCATCGGAAGAAAGTAAAGAAAAAAAAACGTGCTAACGATTTGTATTCCTCACACTTACAATTCGAGGTACATCTTAGAGCTCGACCTTGCCGGTGGCCTTTGATCGAGCAGCTTTAAATCCTTTCCACCATTTTTGTACCCTGAAGGAGACCTTGGTTGCGTGTCTCTTCAGTGTTTCGCCGGCATCTTTCATTCCTTTGAAGATCGTCTGTTTCCAATCACCTTTTTTACCATCTTCTTTCCTCAGAGCTTTTCCCTGTCGAAAGAAAACAGATTAACAAGCAATCAAAACAAGAATCGCATGAAAACTTTAATCCGTTGTGGAATTTTGATAATTACCAGATTTGATGGAAATTCATCCTCGTCATCATCATCATCATCGTCAGCATCTAAACCAAAATTATTTTTCATCAGCTCCTCCCTTGAATACATTTTCATGCTCGGTGCACCCGGAATGCCCTGAAACCGTAATAAAACAAAGATCAAATAAAACATCAGGCATGAAACATAATAGTATTAACTCGAGCAATAAATCTTTAGTCACCTCCATGGATCGTAACATCTTTTCCATCTCAGCTTCTTTAGTTGGTTTGGGTACAAAAGGTTCTCCCGGAATCCTATCCTGTATGTAGGAACGACAAGAAACCAGTTCGATTATAAACGGCCCGTCTTTTCTTCACACCAGATGTAAAAGATAATCTCATCAATGGAGCTTGTAATCCAACATTATAACCACAATCTTGTTTAAAACCCCAGTTGTTTCGTGAGAGAGTGTCAAGAATCGATCAAAGACGAATAACGCTACATAAGTGATGTTTTCTAATGTTCATGGATATGAACCGTTTTACAAGAATCAATAACAACTTTACAGCCATACGATCACGAAGCAGATGATATATGACCTAGTGAAAACAACAAAAAAGTATAGGATTACCTTTGGTAGTGGAGGAGGCTTGGTTTTGCATGCCTTGGTTAGGTCTTTACATAGATAATTCGCCAGTGACTCGATATCAGGCTTCGAAGTGTATATATATTCAGCAACATCGGTATCAGAATACCCATAACCTGAAGAGACAGGAAACAAAAACTCATAAGCATCCACTTAACAATCTCAGAACACGACTGCTAAAACGAAACACCGAAAAGTTCGATGTTACGAAGATAAACGTTTAGTTACAAATGAACAATTTGTTTATGTCATTAAAATCTAACCTCCTGACAAGTTTTCTCAATTGTTTTACACTCTGTATTGCAAATCCCTTCGGCATCCTGTTCAACTAGCTGCAGATATATGAAAACTCCTTGAGTTAGCATAATAAGATTAATGGAAGTTTGACAATTAGGCACCTATAGTTAAAAGTTAAATCTTTTTATTTTTACAGTCCAGTCATCGATACATTAAGATTTTCCATCAACACACCCATGCATTCGTAATAATTTCATAAGCAAATCAGTGATACTAGGGATGAATGTTCGATCGAATCGATTCAAAAAAAAAACTTTCTAGTTATACGAGATAGTAGGCATTTTTTGATGAAAAATACTAAAATTAATCCAAATATACTTCTAAATAGTGTTTATGACCCGAATTCTGTCATCCAACCAGCTTGATGGAAACAAAATGAAGTTTTATCGTGGATGCGGAGGCTTTCAAGGTAACCCATCACTAATATTAGGGATGAATGTTCGATCGAAACGAGTCAAAAAAAATTCTAATTATTCAAGTTGACAAGTACTATTTTATAACTCGAACTTGAAATTTTATAAAATTTGAATCGAGTTTTCGAGTTATTATTTAAATTTCATTGTAAATATTAATATTATAATATTATTTTATTCTAATTTAAATGGTTTTTTATAATAATGTACAATATATATATATATATTTCTTCTTAGTTTTTTCATATGTGATACTCAACAAACAAAATCGAACACTCGACTCAAACTTAAAAATAAATCCACTAATTACTAAAAATTTCAAGTTATTCAAGTTGTATTTTATATCTCAACTCGAACTTGAAATTTTTCGAGTGTTACAATTTGGAGTCAATTTGAGTCGAATAAAAAAAATCAGTTTTTTGAGTTGAGCCGAGGGTCCATGGGCGGAACACAAACAATATGTTACAATAAAGCGCAGAAATTCTTTAAAAAACTATTTCAGAACACTGCGAAATCGTTTACCTCTAATTTATCTCCTTGCTCAACTATATCAATCTTCAAAATCCAATCAGCTTCCTCCTTCTTCAAATTACAAACATTCTCCGCAATCTCAATGATCTGATATTCTGAGATCTAAAACCCCACCAAACACCAATCAAAAACAGAATTTCAAAAAGGGAAATTCACAGAAAACAAGGCGAATCCAGATGATTAAAAATTACCTTCTTGGGAGAGATCTGGGCTTGTTTGGATTGAACTTGTTGATACAACTGTGATGCCAACTTCTCACAAACCTGACATTTGATGTACGGAATGTCTTCCTTCCGAGGAGCTGCCACTGGTTTCTGGGCACAAAGAGCGACGGGCAACACTGTTGATAATATCAAAACTGAGATTAAAAGAAGCATGATTTGCTCCATTTTCCCCATTTGATCTCTCTTTGAGTGTAATGCTTGATTAGATGAGTTCTTATAAAAGCTCTATATTTTGGCTTAATACCAAAATAAGTGCTCAAACTATATCATTTTTTTGAAATAGGTGCCTAAACTAATTTTCGTCTCATCTAGATGCCTAACGTTACAACCGTTAACCGTTTAGGTGTTCAGGGCGTCAACGGTATTAATTTCTCCAGTTAAGTGACATGTGTCAAAATCTGGTGATTTTAAAATTTATTTTTAAATAAAATGTTATGATATTTATAAAAGAACATTACTTTTTCTTATTTTATAAAATAACCCTAAAATCCCAAATCCTAACCTTAATCCGCCACCACCGCCCTTTTCGGCCACGACCACCCCACCGATGTTGTCCCTACCATCCTCCTACTCGTACACTGTCTCATTTTTTGTAGATTGACTGTCGAAATCGCATATAATCGTGATTTTAATCCTAGGGTTCTGGAGGTTTAAAATGTTGATTCATTGTCGATCAGCCACGATTTCATGGGGGTTTTTGTCGCCGGGAGGAGGAGAGGTCGAGTGGAGCTTTGTCGACAGCAAAAGGCAGCTGTCGGTGTGGGTTTATGGGTTGAAATAAAGGTTTTCAAAGTTTTGAATTTATTTCAAAATTTGTGTTTTCTGTTTTTTTAAAAAATATATAATTTTAATTTTTTTAACTTTAAATAATTTTTTAAAAATTACAAGGTTGTGACATGTTTCATCTAACGGGAAAATTAACACCATTACCGGCCCAGGAACCTAAATGGGTAATGTTTGTAATGTTAGGCACTTGGATGAGACAACAATTAGTTTAGACACCATTTGTAAAAGTGGATATAGTTTGGGCACTTATTTTGTCATTAAGCCTTTTTTCTAATTTTTACCGAAAATGATGGAAGATTCCAAGTGTTACTTGAAGTGTTAAACGGGAAAAGATTTTTGGGATAAAGCAACTTTTAGTCATTCAATTTAACAATATTTTCTAATTTGGTCTTTAAACTACGAATGGTCAAAATATACGAACCTAATAAGTTTCAACCCGACCTTTTAAGTTTAGGCTCGGGGGTGAATTTTTTAAATGAAAAAGTTGAGGTTGAATTCGATTCGAATTTAAGGTAGTTCACTATCTATTTTACTATTTGTGCCCATTCGTTTTCTATTATAAATATATATATCTAAAAATTATTTGTGAATTTGTCACCAATTATAATATCTATTTTCTATATACTTTTGTCGCTATAGTAGATCAAATTTATCATTTTCGCTATTATCATATTTTCGTATCAATTTAGCCTTTGAAGTTGCTCGATTGTATCATTTTATACCTTACCCCTTATTTAAAATCTTAATTTATGAATCCTAAACCCTAAAGCATTACCCAACCATCTCTAAATTGTAAACCTTGAACTCAATTTAGGGTTTATAATTTAATGTTTAAGTTAGAGACAGAGTATAAAATGATACAATTAAATAATTTCGAGAGTTAAATTAATGTGAAAATACGATAGAGACGAAAGTGAAACATCATTAAACATTAAGGTGGATTAAATTCATATTAAAGTCTTCAGTTTTCCAATTGAAATCTGAATTCATCCCTACTTTAATTTTTTTGTTCACACTAGTCCTTGAACTTTTACTCAATTTCAGTAATCTTGATCATACGATACGTAGTGACAAATCATCACGATGACTAAAAATGAAATGTTGCGAAATTTACCGATTAATGTTGATAAAAAATGTTTATAGAGACTAAATGTAATAACATTGATAACCAAAAAAAAAACATGCGTGTTTCAATGCATCTGATTGGTCGATTTGAGGTTTGAAAGGTGGGGCCCACCTTGTTCAACGAATGGGATTTGAGAGAACACGTAGTTCTGGTTTTCTTTTTGGTAAAATTAATTTAAGGGTAAAATTAATTTAAAGGGTTAACTACATAATTGATCATTTTTCTTATATATTTGTACATTTTTATTCATTATATTTAAAAATGTTACATTGCAATCATTTGTGTAATTAATTTATTAAATTTTAGTCACTTATGTTATTGATTATCATAATTTGCTCATTGGACCAAAACGCAAGGTCCCCTAAAATATCCACGTAAGCGCCCAATAAAACACGAGGTCCATAAACGTGTTTTGTAGGACCGAGATAGTCCTCCTACGTGAGCAACTTATAGTATTTTTCTAATTAATTTTGTTTAAGGTACTATTCCAACAAATGAATTTTTAGGGTCTTTTAAAATAACAGCGCCTAGAAATAATGTCACCAAACACCAAAATCTATGTCATAAATCAAATTCATAATTTTTTTTTGTTTATAACATTATTTTATTATATTTTTATATTTATAATACCAACTATAGATTTTTAATATTTATAAATATGAAAGTTGTGTAAATTCTAGTATAATATATTTTTATATCTGTGGATGTTAAATAATGGTATAATATGTATATTTTACTATGTAAGTAGAAATAGTAATTAATTAACATAAACTCAAAAAAAAACAATTAAGATTCTGTAAATTTTATAAGGTTATTGTTTATAATTTGATTTTATTATATCTTTTAATATTTATAATATTAAGTTGAATCAATACAAAATCAAAGTTAAGTTTTGAAAATAATGATTAAACTTCAATCCAATTCTAATATAAAAGCAAATTAATTCGCAATCATTTATGCTGCGATCGTTGTTGCTCGAATCCAAATTTTCTAAAAATAAAATCCATTATTTTAACCACTAAGATAATTGAATTCATGTCACGTTTTTATTAACATATAAAACATATATTATATAGAACTCTTGATTGATTATGTGTCACGAGTTAATCAGATATTAATTTAATTAAATTTTTTAAAAATAATGAATATTTTACAAATTATTCTTTGTCGATCGAATAAAATCAATTTTGAGTTGGTTGAACGACAAAGCAAAACGCCACGAATTGCAACTTCAAAGGCCCATTTATGCATGAATGTCTATTAAAAAATAAAAGAAATATGGATCCACTTGACGGGATTGATTTTTATGGTAAACAACTTGATATCGTTTAAGCAAGATGCAAGTTTAAGTTTTTGTGTAGGCAGAAAATTACCGCTATGACATTTACCCATCAAAATTAAGTGTACGATATGGATCGATCCGGATTAATCAAGACAAAACCTTGAAACTGAGTAGATAATAAAAAAAGGGTAAAGTATAGTAATGATCACTAAACTTTTCTAATTTTTCATTTAGGTCCCCCAACTTTTAAAACTTATAATACAGTCTCCCAACATTTAATCCGTTTGCAATATGGTCCCCCAAAATTTAGTATGTTTGTAATATGGTCCCCGAAGTAACTGTTTGGGGACCATATTGCAAACAAACTAAATGTTAAGAGATTGTATTGTAAGTTTTAAAAGTTAAAGGACCTAAATGAAATTTTCATAAAAGTTAAGTGACCATTACTACACTTTACCCTAAAAAATAATATGGACCCACAGATAAAGAATCCAATGACAGACGTACACATCACTGCGGCGCCAATCACTCCTTTTCTGTGTTAAATAAAAAATATTAAATATGGACCCACGAAAGTTCCCACCCAATGACAAAGTTACACGTTACTGAAACGCCAAATCACTTTTTTAGTTGAAACCCACATGATAACCATTAACCTCGTTTCTTCCTAAATATTTAAACGAAGAAACTAAAATGTCAAATTCGGTTTTAGCCCATTGTAGTAAATTCAAAATTAAGTTTTAATCCCTATACTTTAATTTGACATAAATTTTACAGTATGTAAACTACTCATAACCACACAAAATCCTAAATCAATGGATACTACATGTTTATATTATCGATATAAAATACTTAAATTATACGATAATTTAAATTTTTTTTAAGAAAAAAGCTTTCGTCATCCTTCTCAATCAATCCCTACCTGAATCCACGGCTTCATAGTCGTTGCACCAACAATGACGCTAACTAAACTAAGATTCAATTGATTTTATTTGATATAATTTGATCCCTTTAGTTAGTTCAAATGTTTAAAAACATTGAATATTTCGATTAAACATAATAATCCATATCATTATGATCAGTTAAAAGTGTATTTTTAAAAACATTACCTCGACAATTTAGTTAGAATATCCAATAGTATTAATTATTTAAATTAGGGTTGTAATTGTGTTGAGCTGAAATAATGACAAACTCCAGTTTGGAAAACTCGTGGTTTGATACTAAGATCGAGCTCGTTTTAACATCAGTGCTCAAACTCGGCTCCATTCATGATTAACCGAGTTATTCGAGCTTGAGTTGGATTAAAATCATTTATCAATTTTGGTACGAACTCAAAATTGAATAATCTCATTCATATTCAATAATATAAATAGTAAGGATAGAAATTTATTTAACCATATAAAAATATATATTAAAATCATAAAAATTCAATCAGACTCACGAGCAATTCGAATTGAGATTATGATGTTTTAAATCTAGTTTGACCGATAATTTGAGCTAAACTTAATAATTATCAAATCGAATTTAAATTTTTTTGATTCAAACTTTAATAACTTATAAGAATAGGTGTCTCATTTACACCTCTAATATAAACCAACTAATATTAAAAAAGGAGCAAATAATACTAAATTAAAGTATAAATACTAAAACCCAAAATTTATCATAGTAAAGGGACAAAAACCATAATTTAACCCCCAAAAAAAGTTCACCAACAAAACGACCCCATTTAGGTAAATAGAATATATTCGCTTGGGTGAAACGGTGACGTTTAGCCGCTAAATAACTAACCGAGGGTTAAGATGATACCAGAAGTGCGGTTAAAAGAAGTAAATCCGTTTGGGTTTTATCCCGTAAAGCGTCGGTGGAGGCTTCGCCTCTAACTCTGTTTATAAAAATGAAAAATAAGAATATTTTAAAAATAAAATAAATAAAAATAAATAGAAAAAATAAACTCAGTGACCAAAAATGCCTTATAATATACGATTTTAATCAATGTTTTATGGATTTGCAAAAATGACCAACTAAATCGCAATGCGATCGATAATTCGCAACGCGATTCTGACTATTGCATTACGATTTTTCAAATTCGCGTTGCGATTTTTCGACTATCGCAATGCGAATATGTAAATCGCAATGCGAGTATGACAATCGCAACGCGATTCTGACTATCGTAACGAGATTCTGACTATCGCAACGCGATTCTGACTGTCGCAACGCGATGCTGACTATCGTAATACGATTTTCAAAGCGCCATTATTATCGCAACGCGTATTTTTTTTCAAATTTCAAATACGAATATTAATATATCGGAACACTGAACCGTCCACAGTATATCCCGTAATCGCAACTCATAACCTAAAACCCTAGATCACAACTCAGTCTCATCTCCATCTCTCACTCTCTAAGGCGACATCCGTCCCCATCTCCGACGAAATCCGTCTATCTCCATCTCTCAGAGCCACCCTCACAATCATTCACGGTCAGAAATAGAAAATCAACCAAATCAACCACCGAGTATTAGTTTTTTTTATTATTTTTATTTTAAAATTTTTGCATTATTATTAGGTTTTTCATATTGAAATTGATGATAAGTTTACTAGTAATTTCAATAATTGATTAATCATTTCATTTAGATTGCTTATTAAATTCATTCGATTGCTGCCAATACTGCTAAACTGTTTAGTCTTTAATCCCTGTGAATTTAGTATTTGTCTTTGTTTTGTCTTTTGGTTGAAGTAATGCAATCCATTCAAGTTTCAATTTTAGTATTTGAAACCGAGAATCACAACGCGAAATGAAAATCGCAACGACAGAATCGCAATGCGATTTTAGTTTCGCGTTGCGATAGTCAAATTCGCGTTGTGATTTTCATTTTCGTGTTGCGATTTTAAGTTTCAGAAACTATTCTTTTTCTGCAAATTGAAACTTGAATAAATTGCATTACTTCAACAAAAAAACAAAGACAAATACTAAATTCACAGTGTTGCAAATTTAAGTTTGAAGAATAAACTACTACTATTTATGTTTATTGTTCTTGGTATATCTTCGCAATGTAGTTTTTGGTATATCTAACTTGGTATGTTTATTGTTTTTGTAGAACTTTTATTCGGCTCAATTGACCTTAAGAAATAAATTAAGCCTGGCCAAAACAATTGCGTCGAAGCTTTCACCTGCACAAAGAAAAATATTTGAGGATACTTACTTCGGGCCATGGCTGAAAGTACAACATCCGGGTGGAGATGCTATGTTGACCCATCTGTTTCTTCAAACCATGACTAGCGATCTACCAGAGACTATACAACGTCGTGATGAAGAGATATGGTTTGATTTTCCACCGGCGTATACGTGTTTTGGGCGGGAGCACCAAATTAACAAAAATGACCACCTTCGTATACATGACCACCGGCATGTAACTAACAAAAATGAGTCAACAAAATTATATTAATTTACTAACCGCAGCACCAATGGCGATAAACAACAACTCAAAGCGTCCATCTCTATCTGTTTTGATATGAGTTATCGACCCAGGATTTTTCAGCTTTAAATTGTGACAATAAGCCGGCAGTTGGGCAAACGTTGCTTCTGGCGACCCCCTCAACAATTCCAAGGCATAACATTTGGCTCTCCAAGCTTGAGAATATGAGATACTAATCTTGAACCGAGCATTCATGTCAGTCATAATTTCATGTCCCCGATATACCCTGCCATTCAAAAACATTAACTCAGCCAGAAAGCCACCCAACACCTTTTTGTTTGCATGTCTATGGTGAGGAAAAACTTGGGTTCTTGAACATGTATGTTTATCAATAAAAGTCCTAACTTGAAACATTTCGCAATCTTTTATCCTCTTTGCAATCATACGCCACGTACAGTTTTTGTCAATCATACACCTTGTTTCGAAACGATCTTTGCTTGATTTGTTAACTTTTAGTTGATAGCCATATTCCACACATTTCGTATACAAAGCTATATTCAAGTCTTCCTTTGTATCAAAACAATCATCTTTCTTGATACGAATAATTTTTGTGTAACAATCAACTGTTATTTTTACCAACTCTTCTTCCGGTATCTGAAGTAATTCTGGCATATTCCAATTATACTCCCGTGGCATTTTTTCGGGGACTTTTCTTCGGGGATTTATTCTTCTTCTTTTTCTTCTTCAGGGTTATATGAATTACAGAATGTATGTTCAACATGTTCATTCACAGTCATAACTTCCTCCTCATTATCATCAACAACATCTTCCTCGGCAGCGGCTGTTTCATCATAAAAATTCGGGTATTGATCAATATCAAAATCATTACACGCAGGGTCTGTTTCTTCTTCTGAAACATCATCAAAATCCGAGTATTGACCAAGATCAAAGTCCGGGTATTGACCAAGATCAAATTTCGAATACCGACTAGTACTCACAATTTTTTCTGTTGGCTCATCATCGTCTAACTGATTAATACGAAAACCGGAATTTGGTGCTGAAAGTTGATTGGGATTTGGATTAGGGAAAGGTTATGGGTTTTGAGATTGTGTTTGGTATTTGAAATGCGATGAAACAAAATTTGCTTGGTGATGAAATTGTGGTGGAACCATTAAATTTTGAGCACCATAAACTGGGGTTGAAAAACTTAGTTGATTACTACCCGCTACTGACCCAACTTCACTACTTCTAGGTTCAACAACATATAATGTAATATCATCTTGCGAAACACTAATGTAAGCAATGAATCGTTCAACATCTTCATTGTCGGTTAACAAATAAACTTTACATTTTCTCTGATAAGATAGCCTAAATCCACTTAAGGGCTCTAAATTCAATTTATTTGTAACACGTAACATTAGAGTTTCATAAGTTAACTTTTTTAATGACAGTTTTAGTTGAAGATTCATGGGTAAATGCATATATTGTAAAACACCATGAACATTCTCCCATGACCCTCCAAAACACAAATCTATCCAAACATGATCAACATTAGATGATTTCATTATTGTAAATTAATTTACTAAACAAACAAGCTGTGAAACTAAAACCTGTTGCCGGATGGGGAAGGATGTCGTTGGATATAGGAACGGATGTCGCCGGAGAGAGTGATAGATGGAGATGAAATGAGTTGCGATTTAGGGATTTAGGTTATGAGTTGTTTCTGCTACGTAGTTATATACCCAAAACATTTGTGTTGCGAAACTAAAACCTGTTGCGAATTTGAAATTCAGTGTTACGACAGTAGAATCGCGTTGCGACAGTCAGAATCGCGTTGCGACAGTCAGAATCGCGTTGCGACAGTCAGAATCGCATTGCGATTTACATATTCGCATTGCGATAGTCGAAAAATCGCAACGCGAATTTGAAAAATTGCAATGCGATAGTCAGAATCGCGTTGCGAATCTGAAAACTGATTTGCGATACCGGAGATCGCGTTGCGAATTATCGATCACATTACGATTTAGTTGGTCATTTTGACAAATTCAAAAAAAATTAATTAAAATCATATATTATAAGATATTTTGAGTTACTGAGGTTATTTTCTCAAATAAATAAGAGAGAGGGAGAGAGAGAGAATCGCTTTTATAAGCCATTCAAAATCGAAGCAAAAGAGAGTCTTTCATATTTATCGAAGGAAGAAAACAGAGTTTCTTTTCTTTCTCCGTTTGAAAATAACAGAGAGAGAGCCACAGCCATGGCTGATTCCAACGATTTCGTTCCTCTCGTTGCTGAAAAGATATATCTTGGTGGAAAGGTTTTCACCCCATTCATTGCTCTTTTGCATTTCCATTTTGCATTGTTGAATTGGGTTTTTAGTTTTGGGTCGAAACGAATTCGATTCTGCAATATCGAGAAATTTAACGAAATGGGTTTCATTGGATCTATGCATTCCTTACGTGGTCGAATTTGTTTTACACATTTTGGTGAGCTGGGGGATTTGCATTTTTTATTGTTGAATTGGTTCTCTTAGTTTTATGAGAATAATTTCTTTCTTGAAAATGGGTGGAATTTTTAACTTAATTCCTCAATATCGAGGCTCTGACGAGATGGGTTTCATTTGCATTTGATATATATATATATATATATATATATATATATATATATATATATATATATATATATATATATATCAAAATATTTGACTCTGATGTTTTGTTGTTACTTTTGCCTTGCCTTTGAAATTACCTGCTTTTACTTTTGGTTTCTTTGCTCGATTGGAGATTCTTTCCTTCTTTCTTTGTTGTTGCTTGTGATGACAACAGAGGATGGGATAGTGGATTCTTCCAACTATTCAGTCATTCTGTAAAATCACATTTTCTTACATGTCAATGTCTTCTTTTAATGTGGGAGGTTCCATCATCCCATGCTCTCCTTTTAGACTATAATCTCCCTTTTTTGAAGAATGCAATGATTAATATCTGGAATCACTCATTTCGTGTACCTGTCTTTTTATTCTTTTAAATCTTTTACAAAGCTCATGTTCAGTTGGATTTCACTAAAAGAGGATGTGTGCACATGGGATGTGCTTTTTTTTATTTTATAAATTCCTCATATTATTATCCAAGAAACAGTAGAACTCAATCTTACAACAATACAATGCCCAAAAACAGCACCCACCTCCTAGGAGGAGCTAATTCCCCAAGCTAGGCAAATATCCCTGTTAACTACGCTACTCTTTATGGCTATACGAACAGATTTCATCCTAACAATCTCTTTAATACAATTCACAATGTTATCAATGCCTCTGCTTTTACTCCTAAATTGCCTATGATTTCTTTCTTCCCATATACAATATACATATGCACACCAGGCTATTCTAAGTATAAAAACAAGAAAAGTTTTGCCCTTAAATCTAGAGATCGCCCAGCTTAATTCCTCATCCCAGCTTCCCACTGTTCTGTCAACATTACACAGTCGAGTGATGATCCCCCAAGCAGCTTTCGAGTATGAGCATTCGAAGAAGATATGGTTGCGGGTCTCAGCCTCAACACTACATAGCCTGCACTTATCGTCCACCCCAATCCCCATTCGGATAAGTCTGTCAGTAGGTAATCTGTTAAGGATTGCCATCCAAGCAATGAGAGAGTGCTTGGGAATGTGCATAGGGAACCAAACAACCTTGTGCCATTCCACCTTCACTGTCATCCCCCTAATCTCCTGCCACAGCCAATGAGCATTAACCTTCCCCCAGTCTGCAATCCCTGAGAATAGAGGTCGCACTTCCTCTCTAACCTTCAAGATTTTACGTATGCTCCAACTGAAAGATGGTTTACTTTCAACAGACCAGAGATCAACCCCTTTAATTGTGGGATGTGCTTTTGATGAATAATTTGTCTTCATTTTTTTAAGGGCTACATGAAACAAATGATTTGTCTTATGTAATTGAAAGCTATTGTTGCTTAACAAATTGTAACTTAGGGAAACATTATGGTACTCGAAGTTTCGAATGCATATATTCTATATGCTTAATTGTGGTTCTTAGCTCTCTCTGTGTTGATTTCTATGCATTGTATATCTGTTCATAATCCGTGCTCCTTGCAAACATCTGCCAGGAACATCGTGTACCAACGCCTTGTGGTTCTGTGTCTGTTATAGTATATGGGGATCAAGACAAGCCAGCACTAATCACGTATCCTGATTTGGCATTGAACCGTGAGTATATTGCTGTCAAATACCATAGCTCCTTTGCTTCTTCCCCGGTTATATGATGTTTTTATTCATTAAACCAAATGCGAGAGAAATTCATTAGAACATATTCATTTGTTCCTCTTGGTCGGCGTTTATCTGCAAATCTGCTTTCTATCAATTACATTGTTCCTTTTGTGAAACTTTTTTTTCTCAGATATGTCTTGTTTCCAAGGATTGTTCTTTTGTCCAGAAGCCGCCTCCCTGCTGCTGCACAACTTCTGCATTTACCATATTAGTCCTCCTGGTCATGAGGTCTGTAAATTAGTTGGCATATTCCTGTTTGCTTTATTCTATTCTATACGGGCTATTTTATCACCTCGTAACAAACTAAATCGGTTGTTGGATTTAATTATTCACATAGTTTCCTTTCTGGCACTCTCACAAGAGTTCTTGCAGTTGGGAGCTGCTCCAATTTGTGAAAGTACTTCTCCGCATTCTGTTCACGACTTGGCTGATCAGATCCTTGAGGTTCTCAACTTTTTCGGGTAATCTTATTCTTTACTGTTTTTACAAGACTTTTTAGTTGATGCCACCATCGCGCTTTTTATCAGAGCCATCGGATTTGGTTGGTCAGTATTTTAGTTGAAAAGGAGTTTTAATAGTTGGGGTTCTTTTCAGGCTAGGTGCAGTGATGTGCATGGGAGTAACAGCGGGGGCTTACATTCTTACTCTATTTGCCGTAGGTTTCCTCGTGAAATCTTTTTGAGCAGTATATTTAAATTTTTCAATGCAAGTTCATTGAAAAAGATTTTGCATCGCAGATGAAATACAGAATACGAGTACTTGGTTTGATACTTGTATCCCCTCTATGCGGAGCACCTTCTTGGACTGAATGGTTCTATAACAAGGTTCGATCTTAAGATTGTTGATTATAGTTAACATTATTTGTGCATAAACTTTTATCGTCTAACTAAATCGACTTATAATCTGTAGGTGATGTCAAATTTGTTGTACTTTTACGGAATGTGTGGACTGCTGAAAGAGTTTTTGCTTCAACGTTACTTTAGCAAGGTATCCTATTGTTTCCTTCCCAGTAAACTATCTTCCAAGTTTCTTTTTGTTATATTTTCGCTTCCTGGGTATGTTGAATAATGGGATTTTTATATATTGTAACAGGAAGTTCGTGGTACTGCCGAAATTCCCGAGTCGGATATAGTCCAAGCATGCCGAAGAGTTAGTGACTAACATTTCTTGTTCTTTTGCCTTCTTTAAATACTGAATTTCCCATAGTTGACATATTCATATTGCATGTTTGTTTTCTTAGTTGTTGGACGAGAGATATGCATCGAATGTGATGCGGTTTCTTCAAGCAATTAACAGGTACGATAAGAGACTGCTTCGGTATCATATTACTTCTCTGTTAAACTAAATATATAATTTTGTAGTGATTGAATGTTTGTATTCGGAAACTTGCAGAAGACCCGATCTTTCCAGTGGGCTGAAGAGGCTAAGATGCCATACCTTAATATTTGTCGGGGACAGCTCGCCTTTTCACTCCGAGGCCCTCTACATGACATCCAAGTTGGATGGAAGATTTAGTGCCTTAGTCGAGGTAAGTACTAATATTACCTTTGTAATCATGGACGACTATAGTTTTTTATTTGTTATTACGACTTCGAACGATGCAAAGTGGATTTTTTTGCTTTTGCAGGTCCAGGCTTGTGGATCAATGGTAACCGAAGAACAGCCGCATGCAATGCTGATACCGATGGAATACTTCTTCATGCGATATGGGTTGTACAGGCCATGCCAACTAACTGGTAGCCCGAGGAGTCCGTTAAGTCCATCTTGCATCTCACCGGAGCTTCTCTCTCCCGAAAGCATGGGCTTGAAGCTAAAGCCAATAAAGACCCGTGTGTCGCTCAAAGTTTAACGACGGACGGGATTCCTTTCGTTACTCGTTTGGGGGGGTCGATTCTGTCGTCGGAAAACGAAAACCTACAAGGTTAGAGAAGCACAGTTTGTGGGAGGGTTCGGCTTTGTAGATACAGAAGCAAGAAATTAAAAGAATATAATGGGTTAAACATGGATTCATTCTTTTGTAGCAACCAATAATGGATATCCATCCCTTCAAATATATTCATTATTGTATCGATAACATATGTCATTATCTGATTTATTAAGTAAATATTATATATTACTAATATTTCAGAATGTCTTGATCTTCAATTTCATACAAATTCGGATATATGTGAATGAATAAATTTATCTCATTGGTTAAAGGAACTGTTGTTCTTAGAGATTATGAGTTCGAACACTAATAACTATAATAGAGTGATTGAATTATAATAGAGTGATTGAGTAATTATTATTAAATAGTTCAAAATTATTTAAACAGCCCATTGCCTTTTGTCTTTTGTATTTATGTTTCTGTAAAACAAATATATTTGGCCAATCACCCCCTTGTAGTTTCATCAAGAGCACGACTGCACGAGTATCAATGATTAAGCAGCTGAAGAAAGGTCTCCGAAATTAGGCCAACTCCTTTTGTTTCCGACGAGAAAGAAAGCTCAGGCAGCCTCGGTTTCTGTGAAATAATAACTAATACATGTTCCTTTTATTGCATCCGAAGTACCTGAAATCTGTCTTTCTGAGAGACAAAAGAGCTTACCTTGTTGTTTTGAATCACCAAAGGTGCAATTTTTTTCTACCAAGAGCTTTGTTTTGATGGAGAAATGTGATTTGGGTGGTAAAACCGTGATAGTTGCTGTTAGAGCAGCAAGGAATGCTCTGCTCTGGTCTCTGAGTCATGTTGTTCAAGCTGGGGACTGCGTTAAGCTGCTTCTTGTTGTTCCTTCTCAATCTTCAAGTAACTTACTTTTCTCCCTCATAAAAACATCTCCTTTCACTTCTTTGTTTGTTTTATAGAATTTGCCAACAAATTTTAGGTATTGAAAATATCATCATTTGGGGACTGAATAGCATTTGTTGAACAAAGTTTGGATCTTGAAACCTTCTAGAGCTTGTGGTTTATTTGCACAAATGTGCCTTTCTTCCTTTGTTGAAGCTGTTGGTTTGCTCATAAATGGCCACTTTAGCATGCATGAATCAAAAGAAAGAACATTAATCGAAATTAATGGACATTCGAATCCTTTAGGCGAAGATCATGTTCATTAAGCCAAAGTTTGGATCTTGAAACCTTATAGAGCTTGTGGTTTATTTGCACAAATGTTCCTTTCTTCCTTTGTTGAAGCTGTTGGTTTGCTCATAAATGGCCACTTTAGCATCCATGACTCAAAAGAAAGAACGTTAATCAAAATTATTTTCCGGTTGAAAACATTTGAATCATCTAGGCTAAGTCATGTTCATTGCTATCAGCTTAATATGCAATTATCAATTTAAGTTATTCATGATTGTTGCACTGAAAATGAGGTTTGATGATAACTCATTTTGATCCAATGGATTCTCAGCCAAAAAGATATGGAGGATTTCGAGATTTACGAGTGATTGCGCCTCCGGTAATTTGAAGTCTATCTCTGGAATTAGTTCAGATAGAAAACAAGATGTTGCAGATTCATGCTCCCAAAGGATTCTTCAGTTGCAAGATGTTTATGACCCAGAGAAGGTTAGCAGATTAGTTTTAGTTCTTAAGTTCTTTGTTGCTGGTATTCAGGTTTTTATGTTCATGCTTACAGGTGAAGGTCAGGATAAAAATCGTTCCCGGGTCGCCACACGGAATCGTTGCTGCCGAAGCGAAGAAAGCTCGATCCAACTGGGTTATATTGGATAAGTAATATATACAATGTAAACTTTGTTCTCTTGCATGGTTTTAGCTATGTATGATCATGCAAATTACTCAAGTTGTTAGTTATAATTGCTTTCGAATCCTTTCACAGACACTTTAAACACGAGAAGAAGCACTGCCTGAATGAGCTGCAATGCAATCTTATCGTGATGAAGCGAAGAGCTGAAATGCAATCTTGTCGTGATGAAGCGAACTTGGGCGGAGGTTGTTCGATTGAATTTGGTCGGATCACCGAACATTGAACCTAAAGTGGAATGGCCGTCATCGTCTGAATCAGAAACATCTCCTAGATATAGGAAAGGCATGCATGGCCTGTTTGATGAAACTAAAGGGCCATATTCGACTCCTGTCAGCAGTCCTGAACATGAATCGCCCCCGACTGCTACCAATGTTGGAATGTCGTCAATATCGAGTTCCGATCCAGAAGCCTCACCGGTTTTCCTCCATGGATTATACGAGAGGTTGAAGAAAGATCATTCGTTCTTTAGTGAAGGAAGCCGAAATCCATTTGAATCGGATTCAGACTCCAACAGTGAGCTAGATCCTCCTACAACAGTTTCATTGCATCTTGGGAAGGGTTTAGAGAGATCGAACGATTCATCTCTAACGTCAACATCGAGCATTTTGTTTGAGACATCACCAGCATTGAATCGAGAACTTGATCTCGGGGTCCTTAATCACAGACTTGAAGCTTTCTCACAGTCAAGAAATGCTCCTCCTAGACCTCCTCCATTATGTTCAATATGTCAACACAAGACTCCTATATTCGGGCACCCTCCGCGGTCTTTCACGTATGCTTAACTGATATGCGGTACCAATGGCTTTTCACAATTGAATTTCTTGGCTGAAGGCGGATTTGGTTCTGTTCATAAAGGGATCTTACCCGACGGTCAGGTCATGCTGTGAAGCAACACAAGTTGGCTAGTTCTCAAGGTCGGATGGAGGGTGTATATTTTCGGGTCAAGTCAGGTCGGATTGACTAAAAACCTAACCCGTTACCATCTCTAGAACTAAGGCATATGATTTAGAATCGACGAGTTTAGATTCAATTCAATCTTATAAAGTTAAATTAAAAAAAAGTTCGGTTTAGGTTAAGTTCAAGTTTAAGTTAACAAATTCTCAATCAAATCGGAGATAACAATATAATCTTTTCTAATGAAAACGAGAATTATATATTTGTGTTGGGTGCGGGTTGTGTAAATATTTATCTTAAATTAGGTCAAATTTTAAATTGAGTGAAGCTTTTCTAAATCCGGGTGGAATCATATGACAATTGGAGAAATAAAATATTCAAGTGGATAAAAAACTTAACCCAACTCAAATCATATTTATCCTTGATTAGAGCATGCTCTAAATTTGAATTGATTCACCTTGATATATAATTTAAATTATGAATTTATATATTTATAAATATTTTTTTTTGAATTTTTGCGAATTCAAATAATATTTTGGTTTATATGTTGAATTTATTTTTACAAATACTTTTTTTTGTTAAGTTAAGGTAATTATTAAATAGTATATGTTGTAAATACTCCCAATTATTTATAATAAACATTCAATCACTATTATTGTAGTCGTCGGTGTTCGAATTTCAATATTTTATAAATAACAATAATTCTTTTAATTACAAAAATAATTAGGTTCACGCTATTTGATTTATATTACTCATGTGAATATGTATTGTTGATTCGATATCTATACGGTTGAACACAACTTTAGTTACTGTCCTTAAATTTGTGTTGGACCCTAGTCCAATGGTAATAGGAGTGTTCAAATTTTCGAACTAATTCGGTTAACCGACTAAAACAAATTAATTTGGTTAATTCGGTCGGCCACCGAATTAATTCGGTCAGTTAACGATTAAGAAAATTTTTAGAATTCGGTTAACGATTAATTCGGTTCGAAATCGATTAATTAACCAAATTAAACGAAATTAAATTTTAAATATTAAATATATTATATATAACATATGGCTCAACCCAAACCATTTAAAACTCAATTAATAATTTAAGATCTAATAACTTTTAAACTTAAATCAATATTAATTAATTAAAAATTTTATATAATTTTTTTATTTTATAATTATATATTATTTAAATTAATTGTAAACTGTTTTTTTTAATTAAAAATATTATATATATTATATATAACATATGAGCTTATCCCAAACCATTTAAAACCCAATTAATAATTTAAGATCCAATAACTTTTAAACCTAAATCAATATTAATTAATTAAAAAAATTATATAAAATTTTTATTTTATAATTATATATTATTTAAATTAATTATAATTTTTTTTGAATTAAAAAATATTTTATTTTTATATAAATTAGAAAATTTTAAAAAAAATCGATTAATTCGAAAATTAACCGAAATTTATTCGGTTCGGTTAACGGTTAAAGAAAAAGAGTTTGGTTAATTCGGTTAATGAAAATTCGGTTCGGTCTGCCACCGAATTAACCGAATGAACAGCCCTAAATGGCAATGAGCCTTAACCAAGTAAAATTGGTTTAATATCGTAAGTGAGTTAATTATTTAGTTATATACGACACAAAATAAATTATTTAGAAATTTATGGTATTTATTTTAGTGATTTGAAATTCATCACGTCGAAGTGACGAGTTTGAATAAAAAAATTTATTATTTGGACAAACTAGTAATAGGAGCGTGACGAGTTTCATATATATTGTAACATTTGTCATAGATCCCAAATTAATTTTAAAGATGACATAATAAATTAAATTTTTTTGGGTAAAGTATAGTAATGGTCACTGAATATTTCTGAAGCTTGCATTTAGGTCCCCCAACTTTTAAAACTTGCAATTCAGTCCCCCAACATTTATTCCGTTTGCAATATGGTCCCCCAACTTAAACCACCGTTAGAAATTAGGGTAAATTATATAAAAGGTTATTGAACTTTTCAGACACTTGAATTTAGGTCCCCCAACTTTTAAAACTTGCAAAACAATCCTCAATTTCATTCTAAACCCCAATTTCCAAAGTAATTCAATTTCATTCTAAACCCTAAATTCCAAAATAATTCAATTAAATTCAATTATGTCAGATTTATTATTATTTAATTCATCTTATTTAATGTGATACGTATTTTTTATATAAATAATATATAATTCTTATCTGTTGAAGAAATTTTTTAATTAAAAAAAGTAGTTAGGATATAGAAGAGGTTGAAAATAATTCGAATTTTAAATTTATAAAATGTTATTTTGACGTATAAATAAAAGTGTAAACTACTAGGTTGACAACTTAACTATCTAGCCCTTTTTACTTTTGTCATCGATCTTTTAAATTTATCAATCATACAACATAATTATTTAACTGTTTCAACTAAGCCACTAGTCGTTACCAATTGATACAAATGACGAAGTGGCAGTTAAAAGGAATTGACATTATTATACATTCAGTCTTTATTATTTATATAATCAATTTGGTCCTAAATTAAATAGAATTTAATAAATTAATCATTTAATTAGGATCTGACATGTGTTAGCACATGATCATGACACGTGTCATTGGTGACACATGTCACCACTAATTATTTATATATGCTATCAATTTGGTCCTAAATTAAATAAAATTTAATAAATTAATCATTTAACCAGGATCTGACATGTGTTAACACATGATCATGATATATGTTATTGGTGACACATGTCACCACCTAATTAGAAGAAAATTAAGTTACAAAGAAGTAAAATTTGGGTCTTGGGCAAACTCAAACCTGAGTCACGCAAATGAAAGATACAGGGTGGAGCCACTAAGCTAACACCATCATTTGTGTTAAGAGATATACAATAATACATATACTAATAGTATGACCAATGCCAGAAAAAAAGAATATAATGGAAAATGGAAATAATGAGATTTGAACTTCGGCAAAAAATTTGAAAGCAATAAATGATGGGAAAATATTATATTTTTTTACAATAAAAAATTATATTTGATAAATTGTTTGATAGATTTAATATATTTTTTAAATATTAGTTGATACAATATTTTAAAAGAATAAATTTAAGATTTATATATTTTTAAACTAAATTTAATAATTATATTTTTCATATTTATAATTCATGATTATATATATAATCTTAAGTTGAGTATTTCTAATATAATTAATAATTTTAATTTCTTATTAAAAATAAAATATTCAAAAAATATAAATGATTCATACATTAATATATGAATATATTTTTTTATTTATACATCTAAATATAAATATACATTTATATAATATATTTTTATTCGTATATTGAAATATTTTGATTAAATATAAACATATTTTAAATACTAGTTTATACAAGAAAAATAAATATATAAAAAATATAAATGATTCATACATTTAAATATAAATTGAATCATTTATATTTTCTATACATCTATATTTAATAAGAAAATAAAATTATTGGGGGACTGTTTTGCAAGTTTTAAAAGTTGGGGACCTAAATTCAAGTGGCTGAAAAGTTCAATGACCGTTTATATAATTTACCCTAATTTTCTAACAGTGATTTAAGTTGGGGACCATATTGCAAACGGAATAAATGTTGGGGGACTGTATTGCAAGTTTTAAAAGTTGGGGACCTAAATGCAAGCTTCAAAAATGTTCAGTGACCATTACTATACTTTACCCATTTTTTTATCCGTTCGGCCTATTAGACCAATTTTACCCATGAACCACACCCAACTGTGTCTAATACTTCTATTGGGCTACATTAAACAAATTATATTCGTGATTTATAAGATCGGATACAAATTTTATCTAAAATTTAGTTTAAGTGAATATTTTATAAATATTAATCAAATTAAATCAGATTAATTATTAACTAAAGGTATAACATATAATTATATTTAAATTAATAAAAACTCGACCCGACACGACCCGTAAATATCCCAAAACAAATACGTAATAAACAACAAAACATTAAAGGGACAAAGCTTTTTGATTTGTCCAGAGTTGTAAAAGGATTGTTATGATGTTGTTGGGATCCATGCACATCACTTGTGTCAACCTCGTAGGATAAGGGAACTCTTATGTATGACTTGGAATGATAAACCCATTCTTATCCTTAAAACATGAACATCTTCTGTTTCATTAAACAACCAAGCTTGTCCATAAAAATGTGGACCTAAATTTATCTTTTAGATTTTTATCGGAATTTAATTTATTCATCGATTAATTCATATCAATCATGCATATGTTTATTTTAAAAATAACCGAATTAATTTAAACTTCCTCATCCACAACGTCACGATATTACAATAATTTTTTGATTTATCGTATAACAAATTATCATATCTTTTATAACTGAAAGTGATCATATCTAAACACAAATAAATATCGAATACGAATATGTTTTGTTACGAGTTCATGCATATTGGTAGCTTTGAACCTTGTGAAAGGCTAACAAGCACAAAAGACCTCTTACCCTATCAATACACTTTCACCCATTCACGCAGCATGCCTTCACCAAATGGTAGAGATTCTTCTCATCACATCATCTGTATATTTAGGGTTTAAAAATTTAAACTTTAGGGTTTTGTGTTTTAAGTTAAAAGATTTTAGATTTTCAGTTTTAAATTTTAGGATATAGAGTCGTTAAAATAGAATAGATAACATTCAAATAGGTTACGGAATATACATTTTAGTCATTTAAATGCCACATGTAGTCAGGGCCGTGGCTAGGTTGTTGGGAGCCCTCTACAAATTCTTAAAAGGGGCCCATATTTTCTAGATATATTCGATTTTGGGGAAAGAATAATGGTTTTTTTTACAAACGCCACAATAGGTCCATCTATAGTTGCTTGTTTTCAATAAAAGCATCAACAATAGTGACTTTTTTTTGAAAAACACGCAATATGTCCATCTATAGTGGCGTTTATTGGAAAAATGCCACTATAGATATATTTTTTTTGGGGCCCCT